AAAGAAAATCGAAGCTACTTTACTCTAGGACGTAGGATTTGAGATTAAGTAGTTAGCTTTGTTGCGGAAACTTCCATCTAGGGGTTTAGGGGTTCGGGCCCGAGGTTTCGGGTTTAGGGGTGTAGTGCTTACCGCTTGATCGGTTTAGGATTTCCTGGCTAGGGGCTTAAGGTTTTGCTGCTTATAGGTATGCAGGGTGAGGAGCTTAGGGCTCTCAAGTTAAAGGTTATGGTCTGAAAGTGAACTCAGAACCACCCCCACATATAGACCTGCATAGGCCTAGTACTGCCAGCTTACCTGACATTCAACCCTAAACTCTAGACTTTAAACCACCAAGTTTCGTTGAGGGAAGGCTTTTTCTGTCCTTCAGCAGGTTCGTAGAAGAGATCCTGGCCATGCTTTGGGCAAGCAGGGTTTAAGGTCTAGAGGGCCAACACCATGGTTGCCTGCAATTTTGGCGGCTTATATGGGGACATTACATCGGACCAAAATCAGTTTGCAGGATGTAGATTAACAAAGCATTTGCTCAGAGGCACGGCCCTGTCATATAGTCCCCCTTAAGTAGATAGAATATGGATTTGGGTACAGTATAATAAGATCCCCCTATACCCCATATTCTATCTACTTAAGGGGGGCTATAGCCCTTCGGGGCTGGCAGAAAGGGCATTGATCCTGGTATTCCCTACAGCTGCCTCCAGGGGCTCAGAATCAGAGCATGAGAGCATGGCGCTTTGTCAAGGAACCTCCAGGTGGGCAGTTAGGAAGGGGGCACCCACATCATAAGGCTCCTATAAGGATAGTAGGGCTATATAAGGTCCATATAAGAGGAACCGACTGATAACTACCCACCTGAGTGGTGTTGTTTTTGATGGTTGGAGGACGTAAGATGGTATTCCTTACTTACATAAGTACTATACCCAAAGAAAGCATATAATCTTCCTCTATATTAGGGGCTAGAGTATCCCAAATCTCACCCGAAACCCTAAACCAGGTTCAGAGTTAAAGGGGGTGTCCTTCCTTGAGTAGTAGAGGGATGTTGGCTACCCCAACTCCCAAAAACTAGGACTTTCTTACTAGTGCGGTTGGGATCACCCAAATCTTCGGATTATTTAAGAACCTTCAAGAAGAGAGCCCTAGGTTTGACATATGGGGGGCCCTTTGGAATTTCCTAGAATAAGGCGTGTACTATATTCAGGTCTATAATGGTGCCCCTATTATTTACGGAAACACCCATACTCCCCCTTGCCCTCCTTGCAAGTGTAGACTCGAGCCCCTGGCAGAAGTTCACATTCCTAAACCCAAGTTTCCTGACCCAAGGAACCCGGCAGCTCGAAATGGGGGGTTTCTGATTAATGTGGCCCAAGGGGACCCCTAGGCATTATAAGGGGACTATAGGGGTCCGTACTAGAGATTGATTAGAACCAGTACATGTTGAGAATCTCCCACATCCCCATCCCAAACACGGAACACGATCCTCGAAGTACTTCACAGCCGAGCCCTGGTTGAAGAGGTCATACTCCGCCGACACCTGCAGTCAGTAACCCCTCCCCCTAGCATTAGAACACCCATTATAGGGTAATGGAAAAGAAAATGGAAACTACTATAATGGAGAATCAAATGGAAAAGAAAATGGAAAATGAAATGGAAACTAGGGAATATATAGGGGTTATATTGGGGTTATTATCTCAACAGAAAGATATTCTCATTGTGGTATACTATGATGTACTGGCAAACTTTGATATGGGGTTGGGATGGGTGTGGTTTCATGTTGGAGCAGGGCATGGATTACCGTCCATGGGGTGGTAGGGTTGGTGTCGGGTCAGACTTGTGAGTCGAATCACAAGAATTTTCAGGAAACGTCACCCTATATCCCAAACCCCTTTTTTTCCATCGGGGCTCCGTGGACTGCCAGAACAATATCTCCCTAAACCCTAAACCTTATAATTAAACCCTCCCAGCCTCGAAATTGAATTTCGTCAGGGCGGGAACCACTGGAGGGCAAGGCAGTAGCAGGCCAACCTGCGAAGCATCCGGGACGGAGACGGTGGATTTTTCGTAGCGCCGGGGCCCATGTCTGTGTGCAATAGTCGTACGAATAGTAACAATAATCATTCGGATAATGGTAACAACCATTAATGATAACAGTTGTAACATTAATTTCAATCAATAGGATTTCGGACTGATTCTTGTTCAAGGTTGAGCTCCTGTTTCCTTATCCTGAAAAAAATCCTCAACAATCCCCTCGTCCCCACTTCACTGTACGTAGCACCTGTGATGGAACTGTCGGGCAATCAGCCGCCAAACTTGCCGAGCCAAAAATGTCGCACTGGGGCCCGAGCAATGACTGCAACGCGGCCGGGGCGCATGGCTCTTGGTTAACTTCAACGCAGTAGCACGACCGGATGCAGGAGACAAACTTGTCCTCGTTCTTCAGACTGGAGACCGACTGGAGATCTTGTGTCTGTCAGAGTCACTATGTGTAGCCGCTGTGAAGGTGGGGCCACTGAAGCGTTGGAGCTAGTTGGGAGATTGGCCAGTGCAGCTCAAATGATCCGGGGCATCTGGGACAGGTCAGGCTCTGGCTGCTACACGTTCTACATAATACCTCAACTTTTGGTCCACAAAATGGAGGATGTGCGCCTGAAGCCTACATGACATAGGTGCTGCGGAGAAAGCATGCCATTGTCGATTGTAACGCTCCCAAAAGAATGGAAGCTCACAAAGAACCCTTGGACAGGATACTTGGAGTGTCAGGGACATAGTAAGAAGGCTAATTAATGGGAATTAGCGGAGGTGTTACACGGCTATGTACTGTAGGAGAGAGAATCCCCCAGATCCTCCAAGAGGAGGTCTTTGCAGGACCCTGTTGGGATGTGCCTGTTTCGGGTATGTTCCTGGGCTGCTTTTCCATCAGGGCAAGCTGCAAGCTTGACATCCGGATATTCCTCGACATTGGGGTCCCAGCACAGTATATGTTGTAGGATCCTTATTCTTAAGATTCAAACCCTTCAAGAGAAAGAGAAATGTGATTTTGAGCCTGGGTTGCGGCCTGCTACAACAGTAACATAACAAGGAAGAAGTCCCAGCTCAAGTTGCACCATCGGAGCCTGCGGCCCCTTATCTCGTTTGCCTGACTTTTGGGTTGGGGCTGCTGCCTACAAAACCATAGCATCTCATTCGAGAAGTTGGAGCATGCTTCTATGCTTCATCGCCCGTGAAACATGTTAATGACACGACCTGTCTCGTGGCCCCGATCCGTTTGCCCGCATAAATAACTGCGGCTGCTCATTCTGGACCCCACACCGCCGCAAGTCCTGTGATGCAGGATATCATGAAGACAAGATGTTCATTCCATTCGCCGTAGGCTCCCAATTCCAAACATCTTGATACAGATCCATGCACTTCATCGCAGTCTGGGGAACCAGGCTTTTACACGTTAGGGCACTGACCTATGGAACCTAAAGCTGAACTCCCAAGCCCTTGCGTATAGGCCCCAACATGGCGCATGGTGAAAAGTTCCCGGTTTAGGACTTGGGTTTAGAGGCTCAGGGTTTAGTTTAGGGTTTCTGTCAGGTCTAAAGCCGGCTGCTCTTTTCACTTCCACGCATCAAATCGAGTCAATGAAAACTTGTGACGAGCTGCACCACGCACCCTCGCAAAGAAATGCTCCAAGAATCAGGGTTATGGGCAAGGTCACAACCAGAACTGTGCACTGGCGTATCGGAAAGAAAGGACTATTTGGCTTAGCAACATCGGGCGTTTGCAAGGGTCCGCATACACGTCCTGAGAAAATTGCTACTCTCGCTGGTAGGCATGTCTCCACGAACCACTTGAAGCAAAAATGGGGCGGGATGGTTTCGGACCTTTCAAATCGGGTAGTTTTCTGGGGCGCCCCGCAATATCAACTTCAACTATGCTACAGCAGAGCACTACGAGACCTGCATGTCGGCCATTCTGATTCTGTGGGAACCAGACTGGTAGACTTTCAATGGTGAATGAGATGTATAATCTGCATGTTCAACCCTTAACTTGAATGGCTACCATGGGCCTCTGTTAAAGCCGCACCGCTACAATTTGCATAGCTTCATCCTTGGGAGTGAGATGAGGGAACCATGGCCCTATATATAGTTCATACTTAGGGCCCTCAGGAATTCCCATACAGCTACTTTAGGCCCAAGTATATACTATCTGGCTACCTGGCCCCTTTGGCTAATTGAAATACTGGTAGAAAAACTGATCGACCTAGCAAGCTCGTTGCTAGAATGTGGAGGCACGCCTTGACTGGGCAGATGCTTCGCAATAACCCAATCGTGAACCACCCAATGATGGACTGAGGACGTCCAAGGGAACACTGCCCCCATCCCTCGTCCTAGTTACTTAAGAGGTTTCTGATGAACAAACACTTTAAACATGTGGATAGGCCGCTGGCACAAAAAAAAAGCGCAACAGCTACTGAGGCGGACCAGCTGTAGGTGCTTGCATGATGCTTCAAGTCGACGCGGGGAATTGCAAAATGCAAGGCGTTCGGCTAAGCAAAAGCCAGAGTTCAAGACTTAGGGTTTAGGGTTTCAAGCACGTACATACATGCTACTGATATCTGATAAGTATGTTTACTGCAGCCCAACAAGGGACCAATCATGCTGCATGGGCAATCTCGAGCTCTTTGTCTTGTATACGTTGGCCTTCTTGGAGGGTCATGAAAACTTAGTAAGCAGGTTCGTGATGGGGATAATTGGGGTTATTATATGGCTTATACGGGTAATTAACCAACATACTAGTCCCCCTGACCCTCCGAGTTGGGGCAATCTCCAGAGCAGTGATGTAGTGCCATGGGGCACGCAATTTATTCGATCATTCTTTTGGGTAGAACGGAATACGTCAATCAGGGAATATTAGCCGGCATAGGTGACGAGCACTTTCAATTATGCAGCCTTCTAGTATAATCTAAACCCCTGGATCCTATACTCTAAGCCCTTAGGATCTCAGCTCAGATCTGATTTCTAGGCTCCTTCAGCTGCCAGAGCCTTGGCTTTGCTCCTCAGCTGCGACAAGCGTCCAGGTCGGAGATTTCATGAGTAACGTCGCGGCGTGCAGGGCGGTGGGTTTAGTGTACATGGTTCAGGCATGTTCAGGCTGTTGCGCGGTTGAGGGCTTCAAGTGGAGGGCTTGGGGTTGGGTTCACGCTACAGGAAGGGTTCTCGCATACTTCTCGAAAGAATGAGGGACAAGGGGCTCAGGGTTTTTGCCGTGGCGTTTAGGATGTTGGGTGTAAGGGTTGGGGTTTCGGGTTTTCGGGCTTGGGGTGTGTAGGTGGTTTGGGGCTCTCCCTCAGGTTCATTGGAAGCTACTAGTGAAGCTTTTCTACTATAAAGCCCCAGGAACTAGCTCCACTTTGAAAACTACTCCCGGTTACTCGTGTATCTCCAAGTATGGTCTTCGGACTTTCGACTCTCGGCGGAGTCAAACGTGTCCAGCTTCCAGAGTTTACTGGGTAGGGGGCTTCAACATGGATTGTTGGGCTTTCGAAGAAACAGTGCTCTTAGCATCCCCCAACCCTGACGGAATCCCAGGAGCAAGTTGATAGGGTTTTTCCCTCATCCCCATCCACGTTCACATATCTGCATAGAACGCTTTCAAACTTGGTTGCTCTGAGACCCCGCTAAAATTTTACCTTATAGCTCCATAAAATGAAACAGAAGCTCCCTAAAAGTTATAAAGTGGTAGAGTTGTACAGTTCCTACAAGTCAACAAGCTCAGATCTGGGTAGAGGCTCTTTGCGCTCCACTGTTTCAGCTCCTCCCTGGCAGGATCCATGAAGCGCCTGCGCAGGCAAGGAGCAGACCACTTGTGGGAGGTCCAAAAAAGATGTACCAACGTGGTTCTTAGTGAAGACCCCAAGAACCCGCTTGTTATCTCTAGCTCTCTAAAGAGTCACTTTAGGTACCCCTGTTTAGAAAACTCCCTGTTTACTGTACTGTCGGGACCAAAGACCAACAATCATAGAAAATTGGAGCGACGTCTGCGACAACAACTACTGCTACTGCTACTGCTCCTGGTACGTGCAAGCCAGAATAACGCAAGCAGCTGAGGTCGAGGTCGAGGTGTTCAAGGTTTCGCCCGGTAAAAGATTATGGGGTCTGGGTCTTCACAGCGAAAGACCCAGAAAGCCGTGATATAAGGGCTGGGGATTCACAAGCTCTGGTGGGGTTTGGGGGAAGGCAAACTTGCTGGAAAAACTGGTGCAAAGTACAGTGCTAACCCTAGGGACGTATGAGCGACGGAAATTGTGCTTGAATAATTTCCCCATCTTCTCAGGTTCAGTTGGCTTTGAGGATTGAGGCGTGCCTGAGGACTTCGTCGTCGACCTTGCTCCGTGCTTCCTGACACGGAAAGAAAACGAAAAAGTTTGGAAGTAGCATAGCTGCAGCCGCAGTATGGCCAGTCTGGCAAGAATGACTGTGGCATCACGAAGAACAGATAATGGTACCAACAGCGACCCTTTCAATGTTAGCGACTGACGACTTACACCAGGATCATTGCAAAGAGAAAGAACAATACATGTAGCAACAGTACTAGAAACTGTTCGTAGCAGCAGTACAAACAAACTTCGAGGCACTGGCAGAAGTACAAAATGATGATGGGGCTCTATGACTCCAGCGTGGGCAGTGGTAGGTTTAGAGTCCAGCCCTTGAGGTGGGTGTTACATCCAGAATTGGCTACCTGAATTGCGAGCTTGTCAAGATGCCCGGTCCTAGAACAAAGCAAAGAAAGGGAGGCTACTGCATGTACCTACATTGTATTACGATCCCACATGGCTGGGTGCGTCTTTGCAACTTCAGGAAGTGTACTTCAAAAGTCACAGCCCTCAATGCTGCGCCCTGGACACCTTGACAGATATGATAGTTCCCTTAAATAGGGGCACACGAACGTAGACCCAATATATACCATAATCCTTCTTACGGGGGCCCTCGAATAGGTACCCCCCAATTTTGGGAAAACCCTCATATTGAGGTGCTTTCAGGATGGGTCACCATTGACGGAATCCTGGCAAGGAGGATCCCACAGTCTTGTCAAGATGTAGGTGGATTATGGTTTGAGCACGTTGAAATTAGAGTCGAGCACCCCACTAAGTTTACACGGTAGACTCCTATTTGGCTCGTCACTGAGCTTGCTCCGTCACAGCACGGAGTGCTCTACTGGCACCTGAAGCTGTGTCCTAGAGCACATGGCGAGATTGGAGCCATAACTTCAGTGCTATGACTTTTTATGGTCAGCCATGCGACTGCTAGGAGTAAGACCTAGCCTTTGCTCTGGACCTGCTGGGCATATCGGCCAGAGCAAACGGTGTTTCTAGTCACATGCTGCTTCAAGGTCTGTAGAACGAAGTTCTCAACAAAACAATCCTCAACAAGGAACTGCATGTTCCCTGCACAAATCCTACATACCGTTAATTTCTCTAAAGGCCCCCTCATAGAAAAACATTAGTTGGGGCTCCTGTGTACCAAGCCCTAAACGACTCCTGGTGTTCGACGACAATCTCGCCGACCACCTCTGCAAGGCGTTTCCTTGGTTTCATCGCGGAGCAAGCGTGTACCCTCCCCCATTCTAACATGAAACAAGGACCCCATGTAAGCCCCAGTCTTACTCCAACTTCCAACAGTTCATGCCAAGATCCTAGATCATGATGAATTGTAAGACTGAGGGCTGTCACGGTGACTATTGCTGTCGCTGTCACTGTTACGATTATTGTGGTATCTCATGGTGCTTTTGCAGCTTGGGATAGCGCAGCATGTCTTTTATCCACCAAGTCACAGAGCTATGGACAGAATCTAGCCTGATTTAGGGTTTATGTACCCAGGGTCATGTTGGAGTGGAGCACTCTAGAATTGAAGGCTAGGCTTTGGTAGTGCATGCCTACGGGCTTGAGATACACAAGCTCAAGTCCATATTCGTGGTTCTTTCTCGGAAATTTTGCTGCTTCACACATTTGCTTGGGGCCTGAGGCTTTAGTTTCATAGGCCTTGCCTTAAATCGCCACCGCCACCGCCACCGCCACCACCACCACAGCCGGCGCCGCCGCCGCCGCCAACTTTATAAGCGGCTGTCATGTCGGCAACTGCTGATACTACTGCCTACATGGACGTTTCTTCCGCTTCGCCCTGCTTACTTACAAGTGACAACACAAAAGGGCGGTACCGGTGAACAAACAACGCTTCGACATCCCGGCGCCGGCAAATCGTTTGCTGGGCGAGTTTCAAAGCGCTGGGAAAGCTCACTTTAAGGAAAGCTTTGGTGTCCTGGCGCCGGTGAAATCTGGACGCAAAGAGTCTTCCGGCGCCAGGTGCTTGTTGCCCGATGTACTGGCAATCGAGCTGTATGCTGGCGCGCTCAAATCACACTCACGCGACCTGCTGCTGCTGCTGCTGCTGCTGCTGCTGCTGCTGCTGCTGCAACACTCCATTTCTCAATCATCATCTTACTTGGTCTTTTTTTCTTCAGCCATGCGTCTTCACCTCGCCGGTGAGCATTCGACCCGCCTTGTATTCAGTGCCTATGCGCTCCAGCTCCTCGTCGTCTTCAAGCCAAATCTTCAGGTACCTCCAGTGCTTTACGCCGGTTCCCGCCCACCCTACGGCAAATCCAGGAAGGTAGCTTCCAATAGCGGGATGCTAGTAAGCAGCGCATGAGGTCCCCAGAATAACTGACATCAATTTTCAATGCTTAACATAATGTGCACCAGGGCCAAGGTCAATCCTTGTAAAGAATCGCTGTCCAGGCGAGCTCCGAAAATCAGGGCTCCCTTTTTGGGAAGGTCCCTCTTTGGGTAGCTTAAATATTAGGTGGCGTTCTAAAATTTGGATCCAAAAAGGTACCACAATTTTGACAACCACCTATGTGAAACAGAACTTGTATTGCAACCGGGCGTGCTGATAGGAAACATCAATGTCCAGGTTGGCGCCATACTTTTGCTGCTCCTCCCGAGGAGTCTGAGATGCCCTCACTCGAAGTGCCCTTCAGCAAGTAGGGTAAAGCCACAACTAGATTGAACTTGCCGGTGGTTCATAGGGAAGAAGGGAATGTAATCCCTTTATAATCCCTGTACAATAGATCCCCTTATTCCTCATTTCCCTTATTCCCTACTAAACCCCAAGGCCTAAACCCTAGACCATATAGAAAACATTATCTTACTCCCCTAACCATTCCTAGGTAAACCTCAGAGGCGCAGCCCCAAGGTGTTGTTCCTGCGATCAATCCCGTCAGGGCTATATAGTGACTGTATAGGGACTATATAGAGAACTTGAAAGGGAATATGTGTGTGTTTGTGTGGATTGCATCAAGATTCTGTAAGGATCTTTTGGTAATTTCCCAAAATAGGGGAACCCCAAATATAGACCCCAATATACTATAGTCCTTATTATGGGGACCCCAAAAAGGGTACCCTAATTTTGGGAAACCCCCATATAGGGGCTCTATAAGCTGAATTTCCCCCAGACTCAAGACCATCAGAAGATCGTTTTGCAGCATCACAGCACTCCTCTAGAGTCGCCCCTCCGCCCGAGAAAGCGTTCTTGTTGATCTTCTTCCTGGGCCACACAACGCAGAAAACACTACCATCTGGGGGTTTCCCAAAATTAGGGGTACCTTTTTGGGGGTCCCCATAATAAGGATTATAATATCTTGGGGTTCCCTATTTAGGGAAACTACTAATCTCAAGCTGCCCTTCTTATCCCGTCACGCACGTGTGTGCCTTGTCATCGGCCGTTGTAGTCCTTTCCGAACCCGAACAAATCCAAAGCAGAGAGAGAGAGAGAGAGAGAGAGAGAGAGAGAGAGAGGAACACCAAAAATCTGGTCCTTGGCCAATGTTCCACTACGTACTGGTCACAAGCCTAGAGATGGTTACTCGCAGCTGTTGAAACAGATGCTGGGCATCCTGGGCGCAAGCTTCCGTTGCTCAATGCGTGTACCCTTCTCTAGATCCGCCACAATCCACTGAGCACACCCCAAATGGCCAAACGTGTTTGGGCTTTCTACCCTCAAGAAGAAATTCTGCAGCTGTTGATGGCGCTGCTGACTTCTTGTCTGCTGTGCTTAGCACCACTACATAGAGCTCCTCCTGCAACAACACTCTCTCCCCAAGAAGAACACCCCCCCCCAAAAGAAGTCTCCCAATTTAGTACCAATCCATTTTTGGAGACGAGGAAAGGATTCCTCTAGCTATGTACCATGAACCTTTTCCAGACGGGCATCCGGAGCTTCTTCGGGGTATCAGTCATGTAGAGGGCTGTTGACTCCACAGAGGCAGACATCTTGGTCTGGTGGCCTGGTAGGTGGAAAGTCCGAATTTTGCAGGCATGGAGCTTCGTGGTCCTTTTCATGGTTGTAAGTAGAAGTTTGTGTCAGATGTTGTAGGGTACTGCTCGCCTTATGGAAACATTTGATCCATGTCACAAGATGTTTATGGCTGTACAGCCCAGTAAGGTGACCCACTTCATGCAAAAAAGGCCCTGGCAACGTGCCATCTTAGCTGTGCCCTGCACTGACCTATCGGAGTTTTGACCAATAGTGAAGGTGTCGAAAGTTTAGGGCTGAGCTGTAGAAATACCCGGTCCCTCCAGTTTGCAGCCTCATCCCTCCGAACCCTCGGGATCTTCGCAGGAGCTTGCTCCCTGGGGCTTTAGCGCATGAGAATGAAAGGCAACACCATGCATCATGCGGATTCAGGGTTCAAGGCCATTTCGGGACGGATGGGATCATGCTGGGTCTGGCACGCTGAAAGCCACAGGTCGAGAGTCTTAAGATCCCCTGCTCCTGCTCCGATCCCAATGCCACATCCCAAACCGCACAGCCCCAGTCTTGCATCCTAAACAATAGACCCTCTGCACCTGATACGAAGTAAAACCACAAAAGCCCGAGTTTCGCCTGGGCTTCGGAACTCAATGTAGAAAGCACTACTAATTACTAAGAATATTTCATGTTTGTTCTTGTATAGTGGTATACACTTCTCGTTGCCGTCGAACCCAGTCTGATTGCCACCTAGCTTGGGGTTTTGAGGGCTTCGGGTTCACGGATGTGTTTAGGAGGGGCACCGAATGCAAGAGCGAAGCCCTAAACGGAGCTGAACCCGAAACGACGCAAAGTGCCTTGCAAAGCCGGAAGGAATTTCGAATGGATCAATGCCGGCTTCGGCCACTTCCTTCGACTTGCTGGGTGTCAGTAGGAGATAAAGGAATGTTTTTTAGTGATTATAAAGGATTGTTGAAGGAGTATATGGGGATCATTTTTCCCCTATTACCTTCTAACCGCCAGTAAATCGATTGGAGCTTTTCCTCCTCGAGGTTGTGGGATTTTAGAGGGTTTGGGGTTTAGTTTTCCCCTCCCACATGGCCGGGATATGCCGGGATGCTCGCAGGCTTTAGGTTCGTAGGCTTCTAGGCTTTAGGTTTCAGGGTTGTGGGCTCAGGGTTTAGGGCCACCAGGTCTTGCATCAAAAGCTGCCTTCAAAACAGTGCAATCGCAGAACGCACGGCATGGCGTCGAGATGGCAGGCCATTACTTACCCGAGAGTAACTGGTTATCTATCAGATATATCAAGAGACCCCAAGAAGACGAGCTGGGAATTATGGACACATTGTTACAAGCGTTGTAACATGTGGAGTTGTCAAAATCATGGGTTTTTGGCTACCCTCAAAATGTGAGAGTCTGTGAGAGTATTAGAGACCTTTTTATGCTGGGGATCCAGGAAGGACCATACTGTTGACAATCCCCGCAAGGTCCTCCTTACTTGGACACCCTTCTCCGATTTGGGCCCGTCAGCTAAGGCCATGAACCTGAATGGTTCACCCAAATTCAGGCATGTGTGCTTTCCACTCCGTCTAGATGTGGTGAGGAAGATTTTCTTTTTGGGATGGGCCCTCTGGAAACTTGTCACGAAATGTCTCAGTTTAGGACCAACTGCAGCAGAGAATTCACCCACGTTGGGAGCTTATGTAAGAAGTCAATGGGGCTGCATATGCGGTGCGGGGGGCTTCAAGAGCAACCTCCCCCGCTTCCGTAGAAGCCCTTGAACAATGGGAGTTCCATACTCCGCCGGGTTTCAAATCGTCGGCCACGCGCCGGCAGAGTCTGAAGTAGGGATCCTGATCGATAGCCTCGCCACCAGTATCTGCACAAAACCACCCTTAAAGGGGAATAGATAGGGGACTAGGGTTATTAAGCGGGATACTAGGAGTTTAGACTATAGCTTATGTTTCTTGGTGAGGGTTACTCCTACCAGCAACAACACATGATCTTCTGAGCTGTGGGTCCTAAACTTTAAATGCGCATATGCGACTTCGGGCGCAGTATTTGAGGCTTAAGGCCTTGTCATAGGGGCTCTCAAGGTTCCAGTTGGGGTGCGAAATCCTATTGCTTTGGATGTTCCAGCTCTATGTGGAATGCAGCAAACCATGAGACATGCATTGTCCCCAAAAGCCTGGCTTGCGCTTGAGCTGCCGTCTGTTGCAGTTGGGTACCCGTTTAACTTTAGAACCCTGACAGTAATCCAGAATGGGAACCAAGTCTCAAAAAAGAATGCCAAGGGGCTTGGAACCAAACATCTTGCTAGTCACGTAATTAAAACCAACCCTAAACCCAAGATAGCAGCTTCAATTGAGTTGTCCATTTGCATGTTTCATGCGTCTCTCCATTTTCAGGGTGAATACCCCCAACCCAGACCACCTCAGCGGCATTCTGAACTCAAGTCACACGAGCAATACGCGAACGGAACCTGCCCAAAAACCAAAGCCTCAGACTTATTGGTAGCAAGCAAGTCATGGAGGAATTGAGTATGGAGACCACATCACGGGATTAAATAGGAACTATTGTCGGATTCCATTTCTCCGTTCCTTACTAACCGCTTCTGAACACCAGGCCGCCTAAACCTAGCGCACCTGCGGGATGAAACAGCGCATCCCTGGCTTGAGGAAATCGGGGAACGAGATGGCGAAGGATGGAGAAGCCTGCTGGTTCTGTCAAGTACGAACTGATTGCATACCCTTGGAATAACATGAAATGGCATGTACAATGCGCCTATGCTTTGGAGAAATTTCCGGCTCGCGGCTAAGCTTAAGATTTGAAGCTTTGCGAGGAAGGCTTCGGGAATGAAGGCCCTGTGGAGTTTCGAAGAAACCACAGGGAATGCACGCTTTGCGCAGATTTTGGAATCCATGTTTTGCGAGCCCTGATTCCCGCTTCCCATCAGCTCCGCCCATCTTTCAGACTTGCAAATGAAAAGTTCGAAATCATGTGAGACTTTGCTGCTCGTGAAGGAACAGGTGCTCATGCGCCTTACCGCAAAGAACGTCTCATGTGCAGACACGACATCAGTTACAGCTGAATCATGGAAATGGGACCTTCCTAGCCCAGAGTGTGTGTCATGCGACTTGAAAGTTGACCATCTTCTCACTTTAATGCGAATCCAGAATGAAAAAAACTGAGATGTGGTACTTCGAATTTCGGGATCTTCGGGAAGCTCAACAACCTTACAAATGCGACCCCCGGCCCTAAGCCGAAGATCATACGCCATGCTGGAAAAGCTGGGATGCTGAGGATTCTCAGCTTTCCCATCTTGAGATACGATTCCTTGCTCACAACTAAATCGAACCAACAGGGCCTGGGGCACAGACGCCTCAAAGCTTTAAGATTCCATCGAGCACCCAAACACACTAAACACGCCTGCACGACATGAAGTGCATGGCGCTTTGTTCTGAACAGCAGGGCTTGGCGTGATGATGATCAATAACGTATTTGTGGCATTCAGCAAAAGCTCTGGCCCGTAATTGTCGGCTCCAACATCAAATGGCTACGTCTCGCTGCGTACTACTGCCCTGAGGATGAAGACGCAAAACAAAGTCTACACATTGCTACAAGGGAAAGAGATGAGACTCCAGCGCCTGTATGGCAGTGAAAGCACACTTGCCGATGTTGTCCTGTGATTGACTTGGTAGGACTAGGGTAGCAAGGCCTTATACTTATCTTGTCTACTTAGGAAATGAGCGCAAAGCTCAAAGAAAAAAAGTTTTACTCATACTGGGCGATTGCATTCATCAGATCTTGTTGCATAGTCCTGCAGTAGAAGATTCCAAGTGGCGGCAACCATCTTCACAAACCTACGCCCTGGATCCCGGCACGCTGAATCAGGAATCCCCAAACTCCATCACGCGCCTACCCAAAGCCATGCCGCTCGGCCCTACCAGAGTCAGAGGTATGGCTCATTTTCCAAATCAAAACTGGCGGCTCATCAGTCTCAACTGTCCAGTGTTTCAAATGGTCCGGTCATAGAAATACTCAAGTTCTTGAAGTTATATACCCGAATCTTCATTTAGGTGTTTCTGAAATTATTGGGTGCTCTTGCGGGCGTCCCAAAGCACTGATCCCTGTGTTTACGGAGTAGTCTATACGCGATCCTAACTGAATTCTCTCAAATCCTGAGCCCTGAAATATGCATATATACATATGTTTGCATGTGTATCTGGAGCCTTAAAACCTAAAACCCTGCACCCTTGTGCAAGAACTCCAAAGCTTTCACTCCAAAGCCAAAACCCTACACCCTAAACCCCAAACAATTTACCATTCCACAGGGCGTCACTCAGCGTGAAGCCGAAGGTGTTCTGCGCAGTCCGGAGCGTGACCCTCTTCCTGATGAGTTCAAGAAGGAAGGGAAAAATGGAAACTACTGATTGATTGAAGGTTGAGGGTTTGGGGTCTGTGGTACCAAGGAAGCATAGCCCACAGCCTTTTAAGCACAAGTTGCAACCCCTTTAGCCATATAATAACCCCAGCAACCACCATGAGTAACCTACTTACCAAATCCCCCGTGCCCTTCCAAGTAGGCCTTGGGGCTTAGAGGGCTTTTGATTGAGGATTTGTGTTGACTTCAGGGAGTATATGTGCTTCTCAAATTCACAGTCTACCGCATTCCCCCGCTTTGGGATACGTAAGACCTTTATTTGTGGCAAAGTATGAACTACACTAAGAACGGTAGAACAACCACAAGTGGATGCCCCGGTTACCAACCTCAGAAAATGTAGCACTGGGTATAAGGAATCCCCAAACGGGTATCCTTGATCTCTAAACCCCGAGATCCTGAATAGCAGCTTCCATCTTCTTTTCCATTATCCCCCAAGCCCGACACCAGTCATGACATGAGCTCATTTTCTTGAAGGAGCCTTGTGGGTTCTTCTGCTCCAGCCAAGGTGGCAAAGGATTACAGGGTTTAGGGTTTAAGTTAAATGTTTGGGTCTTGGTGCTTTTATCATAAATATTATCCAACTGTCCATGAATAGCGGCAGGACCCAAATTACATCAGGTTTATGTGGATAATGGAAAAGAAAGTGGAAGCCACCATTTAGGGTTTAGGGTTCAAAGTTGGGGGAACACCCGGGATCTTGTCAATGAACCCTTTTACCGGCAGATCCCTACGATCCATCTTAAGAAGTATGTATGACTATATATATATATATTGAAACCCCCATCGTTTGAGGAGTGCCTATTTCTGGTGCAACTTTAAGGATCCAAGCCTTTCAAAATTTCTGGCAACATACTTGGGAGCCATTTCCCTATGTTTCTACTATACCAGTTCTGGGTGCTTGGTCTCAACTTAGCATTAGCTGCCGGCTTCACTGATCTGCAAGTTTGGGTCGTTCATGTCACCAGGCCAAGTATACGGGTTGTTCTGAAGATTGGGGTTTAGGGTTTAGGGTTTAGGGTTTAGGGGTTTGTTATAGAGTATATTACGGCACCTAATATTCAGGGGCACCAAAATAGGTTCCTAATTTGGGACATCCCCCATGCAAATAGCCTAGTTCCTGAAAGTATTCGCTAATAGAAGAACACATGAAGCCGCCAATGGATCGTCCAGGGTGGCCTGTTTTACGGAGTTGGCGCAGGTCTCAGGATGCACGGAACCCTGACAGATCAGTGGAACGCAGAACCTGAAGGAATCGCAAGAGTAGCACACATGCGTCTCACTGCCTGATCTAGGAACTTCCAACCCCTGCAAGCCGCTGCAGTTTTGGAACACAACTGCGGAGGTGCGACCTTGATTATTAGGGAAGGGTACAGTAAAAAGCCTACCCCTGCGCCTAACAAGTGGCCAAGGGACTGCGTGTGAGCCCCGGCCTTAAAAGGGGGAAAACACGAGCCTACTGTACATGGCTTGACTGTTCCCAGGAGAAGTGATCGTTTCAAGGATGCTGCATGAAACAAAAGCTGCTTTCGCAAGGCAATGCTAGTCACCGAATCAGGGATCTCTACCTGCGTCAAGGCCCTGCAACCACTGAAAGCGGACTCCCTGATGCTTGTCACGGAGTTGGGCACCTCTGGATGATCTTCAATGCACTGCACGAAGCAAAAGATGCTTCCGCAACGCTAGCCATCGAATCGGACATCTCCACATGCTTCAGCGCACTGCAGCCTTTGTATGCGGACATCCCGATGCTGGTCACAGAGTTGGGGATCTTGACGGTCTCCAATGCACTGCACGAAGCAAAAGCTGCTTCCGCGATGCTAGTCACCGAATCGGGGATCTCTACCTGCGTCAAGGCCCTGCAGCCACTGAATGCGGACCTCCCGATGCTGGTCGCGGAGTTGGGGATCTTTATGGTCTCCAATGCACTGCACGCAGCAAAAGCTGCTTGTGAAACGCTAGTCACCGAATCGGGGATCTCTACCTGCTTCAGGGCACTGCAGCCTTTGTATGCGGACATCCCGATGCTGGTCACGGAGCTGGGGATCTTGATGGTCTCCAATGCACTGCACGCAGCAAAAGCTGCTTGTGGAACGCTAGTCACCGAATCGGGGATCTCTACCTGCTTCAGGGCACTGCAACCCTGGAAAGCGGTATTCCCGATGCTGGTCACAGAGTTGGGGATCTTGATGGTCTCCAATGCCCTGCACGATTGAAAAGCTCCTTCTGCAATGCTAGCCAGAGAATCGGAAATCTCTACCTGCCTCAGGGAATTGCAGCCAATGAATGCGGATGCCCCAATGCTGGTCACGGAGTTCGGGATGATGATGCTCTCCAATGCACTGCACCAAGCAAAAGCGTCTTCCGCAATGCTAGTCACCGAATCGGGGATCTCCACATGCTTCAGCACACTGCAGCCGCTGAATGCGGACCTCCCGACACTAGTCACGGAGTTGGGGATCTTGATGGTCTCCAATGCACTGCACGAAGCAAAAGCTTGTCGCGCAACGCTAGCCATCGAATCGGACATCTCCACATGCTTCAGCGCACTGCAGCCTCTGTATGCGGACATCCCGATGCTGGTCACAGAGTTGGGGATCTTGACGGTCTCCAATGCACTGCACGAAGCAAAAGCTGCTTCCGCGATGCTAGTCACCGAATCGGGGATCTCTACCTGCGTCAAGGCCCTGCAGCCACTGAATGCGGACCTCCCGATGCTGGTCACGGAGTTGGGGATCTTGATGGTCTCCAATGCACTGCACCAAGCAAAAGCTTCTTCCGGAATGCTAGTCACCGAATCGGGGATCTCTACCTGCTTCAGGGCACCGCAACCCAGGAAAGCGGAACCCCCAATGATGGTCACGGAGTTCGGTATTGACATTTCTTGCAGGTTTCTGCAATACATAAACGCTTGGCGCTTGACATGGTGTGTCGTCCTGGGGATCTCCACAAAAATCAAGTCATCCGCTTGGCCAGGCGTAGTTTTTGAGGCTTGGATCCACTTCTTGCAGCAGACTAAGGTTATGACTTGGGGTTCCCACACCCTGCCGTCAGCTTCCAGGACTTCTGCAGTCTCAGTTGCCAGGCGCGCGTGGTAACCAGCTGGCACTTTGAAAAAGGACCTGAAATCTTCGTGGTCCATAATTTGAGAAATTCTGGTGCCGGGCTCAACCTCGATCTCCATGCCGGATCCATTGAGAGTTTGAATGCTCACCTTCACTGGATGGCTTGCCATGGCACCCCGAAAGATCCCACACTCTTGCTACTCATGCCGTACGTTGGCTTGTACGATCTCTCGACCTAGAACACCCCCAAACCTTGCTTGGCCTACAGAAGCATGAAATGAGACAAGGTTATGATGATTTCCAATTTCGTGCTTCCTGTGCATGCTAAAATTTCTGTCAGAGGTCTGCCTAGTGTCTGCTAGGAGGGCAAGATTACTTGATGTCAGCTAGGCGGACTTGGATTTGGCTTTGGCTACTGACGGCATTGGCAGGCACAACGAGATGGCGTGCGTCACAAGGAATCCTTGCAAGCCCAGCAAGGAACAACTTACCTCTGGTTGGCAGGGATGAATGAACGACTGGAAAAGACAATGGAAACTACACAATTATTCAGAATGACATGAGGACAAGTGTGAGGATCCATTCCTGCATAGCGAGAAGCAACATGTGCCTCAGCTTCTTGGTAACGCAAGCTCCTTTATCCTGAGCTCCATACATATCTTAGGCGTTCGTTGCACAACAAAGCGGGCAAGGTATGTCCAGCGGGAAAATGATACATGCGCGCTCAACTCAACGTTAGTACCTAGTTGTTCCCCTCGATTTTGCCAAGCCTCCTTCAAGGTGTGAGATGTATCACCTTCGACCCTGGACCTTAAACCCTACGGTTTGGGCTTGTTTTTTTGTGTTGTCTTTACCCTAGCTGCACGTCTGACTTGAAGAGTTGCATGAACTTCCGTGAACTCTGAACAACATCTTCAGGGCCGTTCACTTCTTGGAACCTTTTGCTGCTGCTCATATGGCTTGCACTACTGCGGAGGCCCTCAAGGAACGTCAGGATATGATGAGCTGTCTTAATCAGCCCGCAGCACTACCCTCATGTTTATAGGCTCTCCCTTAATCAACCTTAATTCGCCATGATTGCCCATGAGAAACTTTGATTAAGTGGGAACCTTTGGGGCAGAGAACAGCTGACCCCCCTAAATCAGCCAGGACCCCATATTCAATCAGGGGCCTTCACAATTGATGAAGACAATCACTATAGTATATTGGGGTTAATGGGATAATGGAAAATCAAATGGAAACTACTACAGTATATTGGGGCTATAATGGGATAATGGAAAATGAAATGGAAACTACTATAGTAATGATACTAGCAGTTCATCTCTCTCCTGTAGTGCTGCCTGTCAATGGCTTCCGCTACTGCCAACAATGTCCTACATGGCCACCTCGCAACAAAGAAGACTCCGGGGATTAAAGCTACAACTGCAACGGTCCCTCTACGCAAAGGCATCTGGGAAAAACCTCCATCCCTCACCTTGTATGTGTGACCTGGGGGAGCTTGGAGAAGCAGTCCGTGGGACAGTATTGTCCGCGATTGGGATCACCAGATGCACTGATTTTACCCCAGACGGTCGGGACAAAATGAAGTATCGGCACAGATTGCCTTGCACCACCACTGCAAATGACACAACACCGCTACCACCATCCCAACCACCATACTACCACTGACTGCTACGGACCCTGCATCCTCAGCATCCTTGCTTGTAATGATCCTTCTTACAAGATGTAACAATCTCCAATTACTCCTCATTCATTGTAAACAACTATAAGGGTGTCATTACGGGGGTGGGGATTTTGTTCTTCGGGGAGGCGAGTAAACTCGAAACGCAACCCAAGACACTGGATCTGCAGTGCCACCGGGTAAAGCTGGCCGATGTAGTCCGTGTCGCGGAAGATGAAGGTTTTGGCTGGATCAAAGCCTCAGCCACACTGTTTAGGATTTACGGTTTAATGGTTTAGGGTTTCTGGCTCAGGGTCTAGGAGTCTAGGAGCAGAACCCTCCAACCAGTGAGGAACTCTAAGGATGCAATGCCCCTACTGCTTGAAAGTCCCACACAGAACACACAACCCCAAAAGAGTTTGAGAGTTTGACCCCTGCAAACAAACACAGATGAGGCTGGGGCTTAAAGGGTTTTAAGGCTACATAGAAGTAGCACCAGTGTTCCGTCAGCGTAGCCGGAATATGTGCATCTATGTAGTAGCTACATAACAAACCCTCAACATCTGCTCCGCTAAGCCCTAAACCCTGGAACATGTGAAGAACCTCTTCTGGAAAGACCAGCACCTGCCCTTTGCCTGTCTCGACTTACGCGCGTGCATGCAGATGTGTATATATATATATATAGAGGTTTCCCAGAATTTTGGAGTACTGTTTTTGGAGGATCCCTGAAATCAAGAGCGTCCTTCCGCGGCCACACTCCGGCGCAGATTTTCGAGATTGATCTCAAGTTTTGTCACCCACACAGTAACTGAGACTCGCGGAAAAACGGCTGCTCCTCTATTGCTTGAAGGCGTGTTAGCTCGTGTGTTTGCATTAGTGCGCTGGCCTATGACTATGAACATGTCCATCACGTGAGAGCAACGCACATCTTTACTTCTGTGTACATTTCTTTATCTATATACACATATGTTTATAGAACGCCTGTGGGCACCACAACTTTCAATAGTTGTCCTCCTAAATTGGATCAGAGGGAGGGGGATACAGTAGAAGCGCCTACACTGTCTACAGTACATGCTCCCAGTTTCTATGCCTACGCCTGTGGCTTCTACATGCACAGCACATCTGCAGTCACCAAACCTTGAGGTTTACCGCTGACTATGACCCCTCTCACTCTATGCTCTGGGCATGAAGGTAACGCCTATATACCCCCAGATGTCATTGCATTTTCCATGTTCTTCTCCATTTGATTCTCCATTATTGGGTTACCAAACCCTAAACCCCTAGCAAATTTAGGCGTCAAGGCCCCAGCCAGCAATCCCCAAGTCCTTCCATCGCCAAACCCCAAGCCCCCAAACACTAAAAACCAGTGTAAAGTTTAGTATCATAAAGCAAAGTATTTGATATTTTACTCTAATATAATATGCTAATATACTATACTAAAAAACACTAAAACACATATTGGAGCATACCATAGTATAGTATATTATAGTATACGTGCGTCCACAACACCACAGGCGACGATGTCTTTGGCATTCTCCCACGCCAGCCGCCTTGCCTCATCGATGCCCAGGTCCTAGTCGCGGTGGTTACCATCCCTAGACCCCAAGCCCCAAACCCTAAACCCTAAATAGTAGTTTCCATTTTCTTGTCCATTGTACCTATAGAACCCCAATATGTTAGCAATGACGGCGAGAGGGGCATCAACGCCAGCTTGTGCTCATGGTGATGATCCTGGTGGTGGCGGCTGCGGCGGGAGTGGCGGCAGGGGTGGCAGCAGGGTTGGCAGTGCTGCTGCTTGTTCCTGTGCTTGCGCAAGTGCAAGTGCAAGTGCAAGTGCAAATGCTTGTGATGGTGCTTGGTGTTGATGCTGCCTGCCGCCACAACAGCAAGAGCAGCAATAGCAGTGAGTAGCATCATGCACTACCCACAAAAATGCCACCAACGAAGCATCATCACTTTTGGAGCAGTTGTGGCTGTGCTGACTCAACTGAGTCCATCTCCCAGATGAAAAGAGCACTGGCCAGCCAGGTATGCAGCAGCTGAATGACAAAAAACGAGCATTCCGCAAACTGGTACTGACTGGATAGTCTTGAAGCCCTGCGCCATAGATCCAACAGAGTTTCTGGTCTGTCCTTCTTGAAGAGGAACTTCTCATCATCAGTGAGCTCGATGACCAGAGGCACATCAAAAGCCTCTTGCAACCATTTCGTGAAAAGAAAAGGAACCTCAGCGCACTGTTCGGATCATTGGGTCAAGGTATAGGAAATATGATTTAAGTCCAAGATGTAGGATGCAAGGAAGTCGCGTAGGATCACCGCAGTCCGGCCAATTACGTCGTTGGCCAAGGTATTTCGACAACCGGAGAATTTCAGCGTATCAGAGTTCACTGAGCTCTGGCTAGACTCTAGCAGGAGAGAGCACTTCTTGTAGTCATCAACTTCCTATATAGGGTGATATAGGTATGATATAGGGGAAGGGAAAGGAAAATAGAAAGTAGCCTTTCGGGCTTCGAGCTTGGGGATTAGGTCTACAAAAAAAACTGTGTTGAAGCAGCAGTTCGATCATGTAAACTAACCTAATGGTCGAACAGAGGTCCCTAAGCCCTGAAGTCACTAAGCCATTGCTAAACACTTGGGGAAAGCATGCTCCAAAAAAAATGCCAACTGTTTGATAGTTGTTTAGTACTTAGTGAGGGCACCTGCCCGAACACTTTTCTCGCGCGAAAGGACGAACAAATTCCCAAGAGGTGCCACATAATGTGGTTACCCATTGGGGTAATATAGGGGTCATATAGTTATATAGGGCTATTTAGGGGATGATGGAAAAGAAAATGGAAACCACTATAGGTACCGTTGGGAAGTATTAGCATTGTATTGGGGTTATATGGGAATAGTGGAAAAGAAAATGGAAACCACTACAAGGGATTGTATCGGGTTTATGGCTTCTTCAATTAGGGCTTAGTATTTACCGCTCCGCGCGGTGGTCTCAGGCCTCAAGGAATACTCCATGCGACCCAGGGGCCAGATGTCCCAGATGCAATGATTCTGAGGAAGGCCCACGGCCAGTATAGATGTAGAAGGGCTCCCCCTTCCTTCTTTGATCTCCGGGAGGATTTTTACGAATTCTAAACGTACTATATAGGGATTCTTATTCCCTTATTCCGCACTAACAACCAGACTAAGAACCAGGAAGTCTATGATCTCTGGGAGATTTAGGGTCGAGGCTTGGGAACCACAGATCCTAACATTTAGATGGATCCTAAGAAAGGCTTCGAAAATCCACAACCAAACGGGGCTCATAATTCTAACCAAATGGCTCTTGTACAGGAAGCAAGCAAGCAAATTGGCGGCTCCAGCTTAAGCCCTGACCAGGAAGCCCACGCGTTACAATACTGAGCAGGTTATGAGAAGTACTGGCTGAGAGCGCAGGCTGAACGGGAAGGTACTTCTCAACATTTCCACTCGCTTCATGCTAAGTGCTCTTTCTGTGTCTTTACAAGGGGTGGGCTTGTTCTCTGCAGGCACTACGTCACAGACAGCAAGATCTCTCTCAGCGATTGGTGAAGAACCTTCGCAGCCCTCCCCCAAACTGAATACAGCTCCAAACACCATAAATTTGAAAGCCTGAAAGTCCAAGACGTCCAGAAAACTCGCGTAACAAAATCAACTAGGCGGCTCGTAGGCATCGAGGAGGGCATCCAAGTCCCTGTGGGAGAAGAAAAGTCCGCGCCGGAGGAAGCGATGCGCACGCTTGCCCGTGAGGCGCTCCATCCTCTCCCAAGCCCACGTGGCGGTTTCTGAAACTTAGGGTATTTTTGAAGTCCTTTGATGGCGATTACAAAGAGATTGTCAGGGTCCGCATTGCGGATTCTGTAGACATAACTTGGAGAATGGGCTTCGAGAGGCGAATAGCACACAGCAGGCACAACTCTATCATGCCCTCACAGGCATCTCTGCTATGCGCCCTCCTGCTGCAGTTTGGGTTTCAGCTTTCTATTGTCACTCGTAGAGAATTGCTTTAGAACTTAGTGCTTCGAGTAGTTTATGTCATATACCAAACGGTTCATTACGCATCAAGACTACGGCTCTTCTGATCTGGGCACCACGCCCACCCAAAGCATCAGAGGAAATACTGTAATCCTTATATGGTAGTTTCCATTTTATTTCGCATTGTCCCAATATAATCCCAACATAATCCCAATAGAACCCCAACATAACCCTAATATTATTCCAATATAGACCCCCCAAAACCCTAAACCCTAAACCCTGAACCCTGAACCCTAAACCCTAAACCCTGTCCTCTCAATCTGGGCGGCAGTGATAGGTTGGCAACCGAAAGTCTCAATCAGCTTGTCGTAATCCACACCATCTTCACCGGCCTGCAAAACTCTGATATTGGGGGGGGAAGGGGGGGGGGGTCATATAAGACACAGGGATTATATAGGGTTTATATATACAGATACAGGGATTATATAGGGCTTATATATATATATATAAGGTTTTTGTATACAGATATAGGGATTATCTAGGGCTTATATATAAAGATATAGGGCTTATATACAAAGATATAGGGATTATATCCGGGTTTATATGGGGATTATAGGGATTATGTAGGGTGGGTCACATGGGGTAAACAAGGGACCTACCGGATGAGACCAGGGCTTTGCAGTAATTGGGGAGGGATTTAGTAATACAGCAGGTTATTCCGTGACACGCCTCCCAGAAATCAAAACGCTAGGGCTACGATCAAGTCCACAACCTTTGCTCCAGAAACATGGGCAATAGCTGCCGGCCAGAAAGCCGGCTGCAACATATGAGCCATAGTGTAAACTCCTAGTATCCCCTTTAATAAGCCCTAGAGTAGTCTCCTATATAATCCCCTATATAACCCCTTGAAGGAGTTTTGACAATGGTTCATATAGCACGCACTGCATCTTTGCATCCCAAGCGTTAAGGTATTGAAGCCGCACAAGCTGCACTCGGCATCCCGCAACAAAAAAATCACAGTTGTGTAAGAAAGCCAGCCGCGCTGTCTTCAATGGCCCACCCCCTTGCGAAGCCAAACGAAGGAACGAGCGTTCTTGACTATATCTGGCCTTACTTCTTGGTTGCCCTAGCCAAACACGATGCTTCATCACGCCCAGGCAAGAACTAGGACTTACATTCTGATAGTTTTCAGCTGCCCTGGTCCTGATATCCTGATACGTGGCCATGTTCATGCCTTGACCGGCCCAAGCGACTTTTAGGCTTCTCGCTGGGATAAGCGCACAAGCCGTATTTTTGGCTGATTTCTGGGGAACCCATTGCCATGAAGTTATGCTTATGAGAAGGGATGCCTACAACCCTGCTTCTCCACGCAGGCTCTTATTACTGTATCCACCGAGCAACTGATGTTGAACCCCAGGTAGCATATTGGGATTCTGCATCAGGGCATCCTATCGTTGGAAACCCCACAACAATTCGGGTCAGTTTGGGACCGGACTTTCCCAGGCCTATCCCGAAATTGTCCCTGAGACCGCCACAACAGACTCTGAAGCCGAGAGCCGCTCAACCAAGCCGCAAGCAATGTGGTGTTGGAACATCTAAATCTCATCTCATTGTAGGACCCCCCCTATCCCCCGAGCCCTGATCCTAAAACCTACACTCTACGCCGTAAGCCACAACCGACTTTCTGAAGCACCCCGGCCTCAACTCCTAAACTTGAGCTCTGACCCGTCTCAACGTGCTTTAGGGATCCTACATGTTAAACATTTCGCACATCCACTTGCTGTATCATGCTTACTGCTTTTAAGCACCCAAATAAAACACCAAGGACCCCAACCCTGAACCCAATATACCCTATGGAATCCCTATAAACCCTAGTAGTTTCCATTTTATTTTCCATTATCCCTATATAGCCCCAATATATACCCTATATACCCAAGAACTTGAGAGCCGAAATCATTGGCGCCAAACCCCAAGTCCGAACCGGTGCCTCCACCTCCCAGGGCGTTACCACCTGGTCCTGTGATAGGGGGTTTAGGGTTTAGGGTTTAGAGTTAGAGGTGGAGCTCTCCTATGATATGGTTATAGAAAAGATGTGCATGACCCCTGGAAGGAAGGAGCATGTACTCGGAATCATGCAGCATTTTATGCAGCAACCATGGTGCCTGAGGACATTTTGGGGGGCTTCAGGTGTAGGGGAATGCAGAGTCAGTGGTTCCTATGACAACAGGGAATGGTAGTTTCCAAAATAGGGGTACCCCAATATAGACCCCAAAATACTACAGTCCTTATTATTATTGGGACTTCCTAAAATGGTACCCCTAATTTTGGGAAACCCCCAAATATAGTGTGGTGGCGGGTTCGGGGAAAGCCGTGGGATGATGTACTGGGAGCATCCTGGGTTTAGGGCTGCGGGTTTAGAAGCTGCAAAAGGATTCTCGTCACAATGCTAGAGGGATTATGTAGGGGCCGAAGCTCTTGATGCGCTAGATCCGCTAGATTCGTCGTAATCTCTTTAGACTGTAGACTTGCTGCACTTCCTTTTGAAGAAGACCCGTTCAAGAAACTAATGCCAGCGCAGGAACGATCCAAAACAGAAAACATCCCAAGCGATACAACCCTTGACCGATGATAGGTTCAGATCCGAGCAGAACAGGCAAGGAACTCCGAGTAGGCGCTAATAAATTGAAACCTTGATGAATCCTAGCTCTAAACCGCACAATCTAAACCTTCAATCCGAAACCTCAACCCTAAAGAGTACGGTTTCATTGGGATGAAAACCACTGTCCGACATGGTTTGCCAACCACATGACTATATACGGGTTGTATAGGGATAATGGAAAAGAAAATGGAAGCTACTATTTAGGATGACAACAGTAAATGTCCATGCGTAGCAAGCGCACTACGGTGGAAGAATTGCTTTTTTGCCCTGAGCAAGCCTAAAGCCACAAAGCCTGAACGTTATAAGCTCCAAGGCATTTGGCAAAGCAAGCTTCGAAATCCTGAACACGAACCCCAAAAATGAGTTGAAATATTTCTTAAAAAAGATCACAAATTCCTAAACATTGACTCCTAGCAACCCCAAACCTCGTTACTCCCAAAAGCCTTAAACCTTGAAGTCTGACTCCCTATAGAATCGCTATATCATCCATATAAGAACCCAATAGAATCCCAATAGAATCCAAAAAGAATCCCCATAGAATCCCTATAGAGCTCCTGGAGAATCCCATGTATAGAATGCCATAAAGAAAATTAAGTGGATACCCTAAACCCTAAACCCTAAACCCCCTCCTTGGAGGACTCAGAAGGCTCAGACTCGCTTGCAGTCTCTGTTGCTTCCCCTTCGGCGCACCTTATTTTTTTTCTAGGCTTCTCTCTGTATGGTATAGGGACTTATGGGGTATATATGGGTGGTTGTCAAAATTATGGTCCCTTTTTGGGTACCCTAAATATTAGGTGCCGTATTATAACAGGGATCCAAAAAGGGACCATAATTTTGACAACCACCCATATAGGGATTCAAGGTTTAGGGCCTGTATTAGGGTTCATATCAAGGGGTTTATATATAACTATACTGTAAATGTTATCCAAGTGTTGCAGTGTGTAGTACCCAAGGCTTCTCTATCATACAAGGACCTATAGGGGATATATAGGGATTAGATAGGGATTATGTCTGGACTTGTTGCGGACTGTCTAGGGATCATATGAGGATTATGAAGGGATTGTACCGGGGGTATATAGTCATATCTTTGAATAGTAATTCGGGAAGACCATAGGATTTTTAACTTGGGTGCTCCTACCTAGGGCTTTGTGGGCTTGTAGAATCGGTTTGTTCAGGGTGTCGGCCCTCGAGCTGGTTGATAGGCGCTATACAAAGGGAGCGTGTTTAGGGGCTTAGGGGTTTAGGGTTTGGAGGTTTGGAGGTTTGAGGAGTAGTGGGGGATCAAATGCAAGAGAAATGGAACATCAAATGGAAGCTAGGACGAAATAGGGCCTGGCAGGCATGTTTCGAAGCATTAGCCTTATCTGCAGCACTTATAAGACTCTTTGGCACCACAGGATTTTGATTCAGATTTTTTCTTACCTTGGTTTCCGGCTGGGTTTGAGGGTCGGGGGTGTATGGTCTACGGTATTATTGGGGCTGGCAACTTCCACAGAGGACGGCTCGCGGACCAGCCCAGACCCTCTTTAAAGGATCCAGAAATGGAGCCCCCAATATGAACCCTTTTCTACATTGAGGAAACTTGGGGATTACTAGGGGGTTCCATTTTTTGGATCCTTTAAGGGGGTCTGGGAGTGGGTGTCCAAGTCCTGGGAGTTCCGGATATGTTGGTTTGAGCGAGTCTGTCTTGACTGAGTAATGATGCAAAATGGTCGGGTACAGTCAAGGCTCTACCCCTAGTCACAAGTGAGATTTCGGGTTTCGCGTGGATTCCAATGGCTTTTCGGGAACTTTCCATACGTAGGAAATTGTCCTACACAATATGCCCCAGAAAAAACAACTCGCTCAAGCCTTAGAAATCCTAAAGACTTGAACCAAACCATCCTGTCCAAACCATGAAGCCCCAAATCCTGAAACCCAAGATGTTCAACTCATCCAAACGTCCTCAAAAGTGCAGAGGCGCAACACGACGCGGCGCCCTAGCACCTCGTATCTCCAAAGGCAACAAAACAAGGTTTCTGGCATGGAATCCAACAGGGACAGGGCCTAGGTAGGCCTGTTGCAAAACAATATAGGGAGTGATATCTATAATAGTAACTAGAAGGGGATTCTAGCTGTTGCCTGGTGGCAACTTTCGTTTTGACTACCTAGAAAAAGCATCAGGGCCGCCTCGTGCCCAAAGCGCCAGCCTACGGAAAGCTCTGCGGTAGGTTGCTTAGGGGTCTAGGATTTAGGATTCTCAGTTTGTGGCCGTTGTTGGGCCGCCGTATGAACTGAAGCTCCCAAAAACTCGGAATTCTGACAACCTCCCTCAGGTGGCCCCATAACGTGTCACACAGGCCCCTGAGCTGCACATAGTTGGGATTTCAGGTTTAGGGCCCAGGGCTATGCGAAAAAAAGGCAGGCTCCAGTGAGATGCCCAGGCAAACTCCAAAATGGAGCTTAAAAAACAACCACACCCACCACGTAATCCACCTTTCTTGGAATTCCACCAAAAGGATAAGTGCAGCTTACACTCGTCTTTGCATTTTCATTATCCCTATATAACCCCTACGTACTAGAGTAGTTTCCATTTTCTTTTCCATTATACCTAGATAACCCCTATATAATATAGGAGTTTCCATTCTCTTTTCCATTATCCCTATATGGTGCATACATGGCCACTCACTTCAGCAGTCCAGCTAGAAGCTTCCAGCAGGCCCCTTAGCCCAAAAGTCTTTCGGGTTTGGGGTTTATCCTGGCGTGTAGCAAGCCATGAACATCAAATCCCTCGAAGCCCTGAACCCTAAACCCCTACCCCACCCCCAAACCCTGAGCCCTAAGCCCTGAAACCCCTCAATCGAACAACATCCTAAATTCCGTGCCCTGCAATCCTAGACAATATAGCGGCTTTAACGGACCTCCCAAACCCTCGAACTAAGCTGCGAGAACCCAAATGCGGCCTGAATGATTACCAATGTCATAATGAGATCTACTTGAGGCAACCTACACCATAATTATGGAATTATAAATGGAATCTATGACCATAGTCTCAGCGATGATCCCTTTACATCCCGACATAACCTCAAATTTGCCGTCTAATTCTCCATTCTTCCTAGACCCTGAGCCCTATAAATGTCCCCACATAAACCAGTGTGAGCCATAGTTTACACTCCTAGTATCCCCCTTAATAACCCTATAATACTCACCTACATAATGCCCTTATAGCCCCCCTTGAAGGAGTTTACCCTAACACTCCTAAACCCCAAGCCCTAAACCCTAAAACCCTACATAATCTCCCATCTATCCTCCTGGCTCATGTAATACTTACTTGAAGGCCCATGGGACTTAGTAACTACTTATAACTGGGCTTATAACCCTACTTATAATACCCCTAAATGGACTTAAGGGGGTTACCCCAATTATAAGTAGGGTTATAATCCCAGTTATAAGTAGTTGCTAAGTCCCGTGGGCCTCCAAGTAGGCCCTTGGGTAGACAAGATGCTCTCCGGCTGCGCGCAGGCGCCAGGGCCAACAGCGCCGCCAAGGCCCCGGCGCCAGCCGCGGTCTGAAGTCCCCGCGAGGGCTCTGCCG